CTTCCCAGCTTCTAAATCTGTGAGCTAAATAAGCTTCTACTCTGTAAGTTACCAGCCTTGGGCTGTTTGTCATGGCACACACACACACACACACACACACACACACACACACACTGGGCACTGGGCATTGTGTGTACTGAGATGAGCCTCATCCTGCCCTTTACCCTGGGAAGATGTAGCTCTGGTGAATGTTCAAATGACCCTACGAGACAGGGCATAGAATTGTGGGACCGTGACACAATACGGGAGAAAGATCAGGAATGCCATGTTCTTGGGTGATTCTCGTGCTACTATTCATTTCTCTCTGAGCCACCTGTGTCCGCTTGGACGGCCAGGGCTTGTACCAGGACCCAGTGGCTTCTACACTTACTGACTGACTCCACCTACTCACCTTTGTGCCCCACAGCTGTCCCATGTCCAGCCCAGAGAAGACCACCCTCTTGGTTTAACTACCTGAAAAAGCCCAGAGCACAGGAAGTAGTGAAGCCACCTGGCTGGGACCCAGCTGGTTTACAGCGGGTTGAGACACAGTGAGTTTTGGGTTCTTTGCTGTGAAGCAATACATGACTAAAATGGTAGCCTACATGGGCCATAGCTAGTGGGGAAAAGGCAAAATCAGAAATTCACTTGTCTAACTAACTCTCCAGGAGTAAAATCATCATTTTAAATGGTCATTGTAAGCCTTCTGTGAAGGCCCTGTGACGTCCCATGTTCTATCCCCAGCCAGGCTGGAGCTGCACCCCCAGCATTCTGTCCCTGTGTGCTTCCAGGTTCAAGGTGGACACAAGAGAAAGAAGTTAAATAAGCCACAAGACTGATGATCAGGAAGACCCAGGACTATGGCAGCTTTCTTACTTTATAATTTTTTAATCTTTTATTTAATTATTTGGTACAAGGTCTTGCCACACAGCTCGGACTCATAGTGATCCTCCTGTCTCAGCCTCCCCAGTGCTGGGATTACAGCTGTGCACCACCACTCCTGGTTTCTGTGGTTCGCACAGTGCACTTGGGTTCTGGGGCTGGCATGGCATGCGGCACTGGGGATCAAACCCAGGTTCTTGCACTTGTCAGGCAGGAGCTTAGACTGCTGTGCTGTCTCCCCAAGCCTATGGCAGCTTTCACAGACCACTGCTGAGCTGTGGACTCATCTCGCTGGTGTGACAAGGCAGCTGCTTCACCCGTCTGATGGGAGGATTACCTCCTTTCTCAGGAACACAGGGAGGCATAAATGGAGACGTGCATGTAGAGGAACAGCATGGAGCCCCTACCTTCACTGCCTCTGGAGTGGCAACAGCATCCCAACGCCCTGGGACAACAGCCTGAAGCCCCAGGCACTCCAGAGGTTGGACAGGAATGGGAAGGGAGGGATCTGCTGCATCCTGAGTGGCTCCTTTCAGGTGGGCTTTGCGCTCTCTAGCTATCTGACGTGCTGATGGTCCGGCACCAGACATCGGGTCCCTGTCTGCCTAATCAGGCCGTCTAGCCTCCAACAGTGCAGTCCTCTTGCCTAAGAATCCTCAGAGCCAGGGTCAGCCCTGAGCAGAGGAGCACCCCATGGTCAGGGCCCTGATGCCAGTCGGACAGAGCGGGATGGAACACACACACCGAGCACAGAATTCAGAGGGTGGCTGAGGATCTGCCACACAGTGAGACTGAGAGTTACACAGAATACAGTAGCAAAGAGTCCAGCTTTCTCCTCTGTCTGAGTCACTTGCGGCATCCAGATTCCTCACCGTTGTCTGCAAGTCCCTTCCATGTCCATGCTGCCCATTCTCCACTGAGAATTCACCTTCCATCCAGGAGTGGGAAATCCTGACCCAAGCCTTGTCTGTGCTTCCCTCATCACAGTCACATACTCTGTGACATTGAGATAGTCCAGTGACTGTTTCCCAACCTGACATTACTGTCTTTCAAGGAGAACACTGTATCTGTTCAATTTAGCCCTTTGGTGGGAACCAAAGCACAGGCTGAGTGTGTACTTCCTGGCTGTGTATGAATGAGTGAATGAGTGAATCAATGAATGAATGAGTGAAGAAATGAATGAATGAGTGAATGAAGGAATGAAGGAATGAAATTTCTTCCATCATATCATGGGACAGACTTGACAATTCTTCCTTCCTAGCCCAAGTTATTGTGGGCAGACCAAGATTAATGAGGTGGTTCCACGGGCAAACAGTGACACAAAAGACAAGACAACTTGTGCGACTGGGACAATTTATTTTGCTGTCACAGTTTGTTTTAGCAGTTTTAGCAAGACACCATAGACTGGGTGGTGTATAAATGAGATGAATTTATTTCTTACAGCTCCAGAGGCTAGGGAGTCTAAAGGCACCGCAGCTTCAGCATCTGGTGTGGACAGGGTTTCACCTAGATCACGCCGTCTCCTTGTGTCCTCTGATGGTGGCAAGGTCCCTTTCCTAGAGGCACTAACCATATTCCTAAGAGCTCTTTCCTCATGGCTAAATTACCAATCATGGGATTTCTTCTCCTGTTGCCTTCACCTTGACCATCTGGGTTTCAATCTATGAATTTTGGAAAGATATAAATATTCAGAACACATTGGACCTCAGTGGTATCTTCTGCAAAGAGAGGAAGTGGATCTAGAGGGCATCCCAGCCCTCTTGGCTTGGGCTCTAAGTTCCTCTTTTCTGTATGGATTCTCTGTGGCTTCCCCAGAATCTCCTTCCCATTCTTCTACTTTTCTTTAGTAATTGGAGGCCATAGGAAACAGACAGGCCATGACCCAACTGGGCTAACCACAAGGATGCTGCAATTATCCATGTGTGGGAGAATGCTAGGGCAAGTTGAAGGGCTCAGGAGGGTTGCAGGATGGGATACTAGCTGAACAGGAAGGAAGAAGAGTGTGTGTGTGTGTGTGTGTGTGTGTGTGTGTGTGTGTTTGAACAGGACCAGCTATGTATGCACAACCCCTGAATTTCCTCTTTTCAAGGATCATAGTTAATTAAAACTTCACAACCTCTCCTCAAGGTTCTGAGTAATGGTTCTGGGAAGAGGATGGTGTAGAATGGAAAGACCCACAAAACTGAATGGAAGGAACCAGAAGAGAACTGGGGGCTGGCCCTGGAGCATGCATGGTGGCATATCTCATGGATGGAAATCATTTCGCTGGAAACAGCTGAGCTCTTTTCCAGGGACACTTTCATCTACATGTCATAGATTCTCACATGCATACCCTCCTCCATGAAGTTCCAAGCAATACTGACAGGAACCAGTGAAGGCTCCACCTCCAAGGATTTCTACCACTTCCTCCCAGACCCTACCAAATGGTTAAACATAATCTGTTGAATTCAGGTGTGTGTTTCTTCTCACATGAAATCTTGGCCTTCCCTAATGCTAGATACCCCAAGGTTGTAACTCCTTGCTCCATCTCTGCAAATTCCTCAGGGCAGACACACCACATTCTAGGTATTGAGGTGGCAAGCTAGTAAGGCACAGCAGTGGTGAAGAGGTCAACCGTGGTGGGCTGGATGTGTAGCTCGGTGGTGCAGCATTTGTGTAGCATTGCAAGGCCCTGTGTCTTAGGTACTTTCTTGTCTCTGGGACAAAATATCTTAAACTTACAGCTCAAAGGAAGAAAGGTTTGTTTTGCTCCAGTCTGTAGAGATTGCAGTCTGTAGTTGGCTGGCTCTAAGGCAGGGTAGATGGCAGAAGAGCCTCACAGAGGAGAAACAGTCTATGGCAGGGCAAACAGCAAGCAGAGAGCTTTCGAAAGCCCCCTGCCAGGCCACGCCCCAGTATCCCATCTCCTCTGACCAGGGTTCACCTCCCAGAATCATATTGAACTATAAACTCACCAGTTGTTTAATCTACCGACCAGTATCATGTCCTCCAAATCCAGTCACCTCCTAAGAAACCCCACTATAAGTGCATGAGGTATCTGGGGACATCTAGATATAAATCATAATAAGTTCCATTCCCAGCATGACAGTCCGTGCTGTAACACACAGAAGTTACCCTTTTCAAAATGTCTATTCCCTCTTGACTTTCTTTCCCACCAAGACCTGCTGTAATACCGTGACCACCTCAGTTCCTCAGACCTCTTATGAATCGGGTTCTCCTCTGGGTCCTCATTATGTTTTAGTCCTCAGAAGGCTCAGGCCCACCCCAGTGTCTCCCCTCTTCAGCCTCCCTGAGACTGAGTATCCAACCTGGGTGAGGTCAACCTGCATCCCATCTGTGTGCCTCAGGCCAACGAGATGGCTCAATAGAATAAGTGCTTGCCTAGCAAGCGCAAGGGCCTGAGTTCAATCCCTGATTAAAAAAAAAAAAAAAGAATTACCACCTTAACTATTGGGGGCCTGCCCATTGGCTCTGTCGCTTAAGTGCCTGCTTAAGCAAAGCAGTCAGGCTCAGGATTCTGTGGTTCAATCCCCAGATCCTCACGCCTTGTCAGACCTACCCTTAAGGCATCCTGAGCCAGTGCCCCCCCCCACAAAAAAATCCATCAGTGTGCCTCACACTGAGGCTTCTTGGAGTTTGGTATGCCACAAACTGTATGGGCAGCCCACCGGATGGTGGCCCGCTGGGGACAGTGCCCAGGCCCGCTGTGCTGACCTCACTGTACAAGGAGGGCATGCACCCTCCTGGGCTGCTGAGCAGGGGAGGAGAGGCTTCCTGCTCACACAACAGGGCCCTTGCATCCATCCTGTCCCTGGTCCCACCCCAGACCATACAAATGTAGACGACTCCAGAAGTGACTCAGGGGTCTGGTTAGAGGGGACCCATTTTCACGCTGCAGGAAATGTTACCCAAGAGGGAGGACCTGCAGGTGGTAAAGTGGGGTGTCTCTCGCCCCTCTGGCCCCAGGATCCCAGGGGTGGACATAGGTGATGGGGGCTGGTCTCCGAAGTCTCCCTGGGCACTGACAGTGGCTGACCTGAAGCTCCTCCCAGGGGAGGCACCGCTCTTCCTGTGGGCTTCCTGAAGGTCTTGCAACTCTGGGTTCCTCACACAGAGGTCCTGAGCAGCCTCTGCCGGGCGGGGCCCCAGCTCCGGGCAGACATGCTGCTGCTGCTGCTGCTGCTTGCAGCACCAGCCAGGGTGAGCTCGCAGGGATACTCCCTGAACGTGCAGAGAGCAGTGACGGTGCAGGAGGGCCTGTGTGCCCATGTGCCCTGTGAGCTCACCTACCCCGATGAACACTGGACTGCATCGGACCCGGCTTACGGCTACTGGTTCCGGAACCAGGGTGGGCCTACAGGCCAGGCTGCTCCAGTGGCCACAAATGATCCAGATCGACAGGTGCTGGAGGAAGCAGAAGGCCGATTCCTCCTCACTGGGGACCCTGGGGCTTACAAATGCTCCCTGGACATCAGAGATGTCAGGAAGACGGACGAGGGGTCATTTGTCTTTCGGCTGGAGAGAGGACAGGCTCGATATAGTTACAGATATTCTACGCTCTCTGTGCGTGTGACAGGTGAGTCCCGGGCTTCAGCAGCAGCCACAGGCGAAGGCACAGGACAATGGGTAGAGCAGGGATGAACCTGCCCCGGGAGGATTCGGGGGCTGAGCTGTAGGGATCCAGGAGGAGCAGAGCCAGGAATTGAGGTTCTCTCATGGCCTCACCTCAGAGGCTCCATCCTGACCCTGCTGTCGCCTCTCCTCACAGACCTGACCCATAGCCCCGACATCCTCATCGCGGGGACCCTGGCAGCGGGCCACCCCAGCACCCTGACCTGCTCTGTGCCCTGGGCCTGTGAGCGGGGGATGCCCCCCATCTTCTCCTGGCTGGGGGCCTCTGTGTCCCACCTGGGCCCCAACATCAGCAGCTCCCCAGTGCTCAGCTTCACCCCACGGCCCCAGGACCACGGCACCAGCCTCACCTGTCAGGTGACTCTGCCCGCGATCAGCGTGACCAAGACGACCACTGTGCACCTCAGCATTTCCTGTGAGAGCCGGGCAGGGATGGCAGGGCTGCTGCTGGTGGGCGCTCCCTGGGGGTAGAGAGGGGCCGCATCCTGGAATTCTGGGTGCAGCAGGGCAGGAGGGTACAGTCCCCACCCTCCCTACTTCTGCAGCTCCTGGGGACAGGGCTGATGTCCCCCAGCCTCATCACTGATGGTCCTGCCATGTCTTCCTGCCTCAGACCCTCCACAAAACCTGACTGTAACCGTCATCACCCAGGGAGCTGGCTCAGGTACGGGGTCTCCCTGGGGTAGGGGTGAGTGGGCCTGGCTGCTTCAGCCCAGGCAGGGCCGGTCCTCCTCTTCCTGGATGCACCCTGGTCACAGAGACCCCTTGTTGGGGGCCCAGTGGCTCCCCCACCCTCAGCCCATGGTCACTTTGAACCCCCGTTCTCACTAGCCCCTCCACCGCTCCCTCTAACTCCAGCAGAGACTCTCAGAGCTGCAAGGATGGGGGCCTTACCTACGTGGGACTGGTCTTTCCAGGCACTTCCTTGGGACCCGCCCTGCTGTTTTCTTTTTCCCCCAATAGCGTCAATCCAAGGGCTGGAGGAAGGGGACATACATGTGCATGCACACAAGCACATACATGTGCGCGCACGCACATACACACTCAGAACATGCAGCAGTCTGGCCCCAGAAGTGACCATGCAGGCTGCTCTGAGCCTTAGTCTGTCCCCTTGAGTTTCAGAACCACCTGTTCTCTCTAAATTAGAGCATGAGGATCAAGCTGTCCTCACTGATGGGGACAGATTTACATCCCCGCCCTCACGGGGTGAAAGCACATGTCTGACAGTCTGTCCCTTTCTCTGGGTCTCATCATCAACCTGCCCCTCTGGGTCTTCCCTACAGCTCCCGCAGCCCTGGAAAATGGCTCCTCTCTTCCAGTTGTGGAGGGCCAAGCTCTGCACCTGCTCTGTGCAGTCGACAGTTACCCTCCTGCCAAGTTGACTTGGACCTGGGAGAACCTGATTCTGAGCCCCTCTGAGCCTGCAAAACCTGGGGTGCTGGAGCTGACTCCAAGTCACCTCAAGGGTTCGGGAGAATTCACCTGCCGAGCGCAGAACTCTCTGGGCTCCCAGCACATCTCACTGAGCCTGCCTCTGCACAGTGAGTGACAGAGGGATGCAGGGAGGGCAATGGGACAGGGACAACACCTGCCCTGGACAGAGCCCACCTTTGTGGAGCGGGAGTGGGGTTGCCACTGCTCTGGCTCTGCTGTGAGGCCCAGGTCCTCCTGACACCCCAGACCTCACTGTCTTTTTCCTGCAGGACCAAAGAGTGGCTGGGGGAAGAGCAGGGTGAGATCTTTAGGGGAAGGAGCTGGGCTTGAGATGGAAATGTTTGGACACTGAGGTCCTTCTGGGGCCAGGACTAGAAAGAAGTGTTTGTCTGGGACACAAAATACAAGGAGCAGCCAAAAAACAAAAGCAACAAACAGAACTACCATGAAAGTGAAAACCTCAGCAATCAAATGAAATATTATAATATTAGGATGCAAAAAAAAAAAAAAAACTTCCAAAAATGAATGCAAGATATACTCCATGGTGAATAAAATACCAAATACAACAAGTGATAGCCAATATTTACGTTCCTGTCTCTCTTGCCCCTAGTCCTGCCCCTGCCCCTCCCTTGTTCTCCCTTCCAGGAAAGCAGGGGGAAGCAGAAGTCCAGGGTCCCACAGAGAGCGGGAGGATGGGGGAGGGTTTCCCACAGTGAATCAGCACAACGTTCTCCTCTGTCAGCAGACAAAGAGGAGCTTCCACAGAGAGTGACACTAGGGACCATCACGGGAGTCAGCATCACAGCCCTGTTCTTCCTGTTCATCTGCATCATCTTGGTCATGTGAGCATGAACTCTGGAGAGAAGGGGACCAGGAGGTGACCAGTGACAGGGCTGGTGGGAATGAGGCAAAGGCAATCACCTAGGAGCTTGCGAGAGTACCTTCGGTTGTTGCTTTAATATTTTTTTTTCTGGTATTGGGAATTGAACCCAGGACCTTTGCACTGAGCTGCATTCCCAGTGCTTTCCTGGAATATTGAGACAGGAGTTTGCTAAATTGCTAAATTGGCCAAGCTGGACGCAAACTTGCGATCCTCCTACCTCACCCTCCCAGGCTCCTGTAGCATGACCACACCTGACTGAGTGTGCCCTCTGAATACAGGGGCCTCCAAGAAGAGGGCACCCTCTCCACCTTCAGCACTTCAATAGGAAAGGGGTGGCTGGAGTTGGTGGGTCACCAGGATAGGGGCCCCCATCGGGCTGAAACCCCCCACCCTGACCCTATGGTGTCTTCATTCAGAGCATGGTCCTGCAGAAAGAAATCCGCAAGGCTAGCAGCAAGCAGAGGGGAGCCAGAGGCTACCAGCGGCTCGGCCTCTCAGGTGAGTGCTCACTCCTGGTGACCTGCTCGACACCTGCTCTGTGGTGGCCCCAGGGTTGCTCGACCAAGGGTTGCCCAAGGTTGCCCAAGCCCACCCTCATATGAGCTCCTGACAACTGACTTTTCATCTTGCTGACCTCGGACAACTCCCACCACCCCACTTCCCCAGGCCTCGCAGGAGCAGGGAGACACTTCCTCTCTATCCTTCCTTCTGTTGCAGCCAAAATGTCATTGTGTGATGTCCCTTCTTCCCCCTCAACATTAGCATTTGTCCCCTTTCCTTCTTGACCCCATTATTTCTGAGGACACAGGACACTTTTCTTGGGCCTCCTCACCTCCTTTGTCACCCTCCCAAGTGGTCCCACAAAAGCCACCATGGCCCAATTCTTCCACATCTGAACACATGTTTGCCCCCCACACACATTATTTGTAAAGGGCCAGGTAGTAGACATTTCAGCATGATGGACAATACAGGTGGCTGATGAGCTACTGGGCTACGCTACTGTAACAAGAAAACAGCCACAGACCTTATGTCCATGATGAGTATGACCTTGTTCCAATAAAACTTTATTTATAAAAACAGGAAGTGAGCTGAATTGGACCCAAAAGCTGACCTAAAGAATACAGCCAAACTCAGTCCACAGTTCCCACACTCATGGCGGGCCTCAAATCACATATACCCGGGGCTGGAAGTGAGGTCAGGTGAGTGAGGTACTTGCCTGGCACACACAGTTTAAGGGGTGCCACAAGTGTCAATAACTAACACACGTAATGTTTTAATGCACAACTTTAAAAATAACTCAAAATTACCGAAAAATTCCATGATGAGCAGATATCACAAATGGAAATAAGAAAATCATTTAAGGCTACCAAGTTGTCCAGAGAAATTGTTCATCATGGAAATTGGAGAGGCAGAGAAGGGGATTTTGGAAACATTTCACTGTGCTCACTTCCAGGAAAGCAAAATGATGCTAAATTCTGCTTGGGGGTACACATAACATGGCTAAACCTAAAATAATACTTTAATAGCATTACATTTGAATTTGTTAACATGATTTTAATTATCTCAGTGCTCTGGGAAAGGAAACTGACCATTCGGATTACATAAACGTTGTTTTCATTTGCCTCAGACTGTAATTGACTCAGCAGGGCACTCTTGCTAATTTTATTTAACTTTTGTTCTCCATGGGTTTTCTGCAATCATCATGATTTTAAGTACTATTTGTCTCAATCACTAAGAGTTTGGGTGCCCTGTAATGTTTTGTTCTCCGGGAGAGCCTCACCTACCCACCCCAACCCCAGCCCCCTCTAGCCTGCCTCTTGCCTCCTCTGCAGGACAGCAAGGGCCTCTCCGCCTCTGTACTTTCCACAGACTGCTTGCTCTATGTTTCCACGTAATCACTCCTGTTTATCCTTTATGCTGCAGGTTATGCTATGGGATGTAAACGTTATGCTTTTGTTTATTTGTTGGATGCAGAGTGGGACTTGTGGAGGGTTTTGAGTAGCAGTCAATTCCTGAACTCCCTCAGGCAGTGCTCTTGAGTCCATTCTGGCAAGGGCTGTCTATGAAAAGCACCAGAAAGCCCTGGGCCAATCAGTTTTTGTTCTAGACCGGGGATATAACTCAACCAACTAACCAACCAATCAACCAGCCAACCAACCAATCAACCAATAATAAATGGATATGATTTAAAAGATAGAGACATACTTTGAGGAAATGAGGTTGCATAGAGTAGGAAGTCCTGAGGAGATAGCTTGAGGGTCCTCTCATCTCCCCCTCCTGGGGTGCTAGGGTTGTGGGCATGTGTCACTACACCCAGCTATTTTTCCATAGTGAATACACTATTTTATGTTCCCAGTAATAGTATGAAAGAATTCTCAGTTCTTTACGTCTTTGTCAACACTTGCTCTCACTTCTGTCTTATTTTTGTTTGTTTCTTTCTCTTTTTTTTTTTTTTTTCAGAAACAGGGATTGAATTTAGCAGCTTGTGCTTACCAGGCAAGTGCTTATTCTACTGAGCTATCTCCCTAGACCTATTTTGTTTCTTATGACTATCTGAATAGTAGCCATCCTGGTGAATGTGAGGTGATGCTTGTTTATGATTTTGAGTTTTTGTTACTTGAATGATTAGTGACATTGAGCAATTTTTCATACGCTTATGGCATTTGTATATATTTCTGGAAGAATGTCTATCCAAGTTATGTGCCCATTTTTTCCAATCAGGTGACAGTTTCCTGTTGTTGAGTGGTAGGGGTTCTTTTTATATTCTGGTCATTGGCCCTTTGTCAGATGGATATCTTCCAAGTATGTTGTGTCATTCTGTAGTAGACACTGGTTTCTACTTGTGATGCAGTTTGCTCCACAGCTGGCCATTTGGATGCTCCAGAGGTGCAGGGGGAGCAGGTGCAAATATTCAGAAACAGGAGACTGACCACAGAAAATGAGTTTGAAGTCGAACGTGTGCAAATGGTGTCCGAACATGCAGGCCTGAGAGCGCTGAGCACAAGACAGGGATAGTCCTACTTTCATTTGCAGGGGTCCCTCTGGCCACTGTGTACAAAAGTAAGTGGCTGGGGAAGAGCAGCATTAGGGAGCCTAGAATGAGGCTGGTGAAGTTTTCCAGGCAGGAGGCGATGGTGCTGGTTCCCGGGCTGGCTGCTGGGTGGACCTTGAGATTGAGACAAAGGGGCTCGCTGTGGCTGAGATTGGGTGAAAGAGCAGAAGAGGATAAATGAGTCCTGGGCATTTGTCCTGAGCAGCCAGAAGACCAGATATGCCAGTCCCGGAGACTGAGAGGTCTGTAGGAGCAAAAGATACTCGGTCTGAAAGGGTTGAGTTTTGTGTGCATTTCGACAAGGAAGTGGGTTTCAAGTGTAGATGGTCCTGACTTGAGATGTTTCCACTTGAGATTTGTTGAATTTACCATGATGAATTCAGTAGAAGCTGCACTCCAGGTTTGAGTTTTGATCTTTTCTGGGGCCAGCGTTACGTGGTACAGGACAGCTGCCATGAACCACAGCCCCTAGTCAGCCACAAGATCACAAGATAACAACCACCACTCAGCGATAGGGGGTTATTTTTGGTACAGACACTTGATGCATTACATGGGCGGTTCAACACCTTGAATAGTTGTCAACAATTTCATGGAGTTGTTCTGTTATTAACAAGTGTGGCGCTGTAGTTAAAGGGGACACCTCCCAGGGAGGCCCCTTCCCTTAGCCTATGTGAGTCTCTATCAGGCTCCTGCTGCTTCTGTACAATTTGCCACACAAATCATGCCTATAATAGTAAACACGTGCTATCTTACAGTTCTGGAAGTCACATGTCCAATATGGGCTTCACTGGGATAAAATCAAGGAGGCAGGGCAGGCTTTCTCCAGAGGCTCCGGGAGAGAATCTATCTCTTCATTTCTCCTTTTCTGGAGGAAACCTGCTTTCCTTGACCCAGGTCCCCATCCTCCATCTTGAAAGCCAGCAGAGTAACATCCTTGGTCTCTTTCTACCCTGTTTTCACCAGTGAGGACCCCTATGATAACCAGCTTATTGGGCTGACCCAAATAATCTAGGATCATCTCCCCATCTCCATGTCCCTAACTTAATTCTACCCTTAAAGTCCCTCTTATCAGAGACAGGTAGATCTGGAGACACTTATGTTGAGCAAAAGAAGCCAGACTCATTCAGAAAGATAGGCAATGTGTGTTATCCACAATATATGGAATCTAAAAGAGAGACCAGGAAAATAAAAGGGAGATTATAATTAGACAACAGGAAGTGAATAAGGAGGAAGGGGAGGAGACAGTATGGGCAGAAAATGGGAAGATGCTTCTGATCAAAATATATTATGTGAACTGAAACCTCTTTATGAATGTGAAACTAGGACAGAGAGTGGGGTAAGGGGCATGACATGGGGGTAAAAGTGATCAAAGTGCTTTATAAGCTTGTACAAATTTACCAAAATGAAATCCATTGATCTATATAGCTATTTTTTAAAAAAATTTATTTATTTATGTGTGTGTGTGTGTGTGTGTGTGTGTGTGTGTGTGTGTGTGGCCAGCTCAGCCCACCAGGGGGCGGGGCTGGCTGGCATGTGGTGCTGGGGGGTTGAACCAGGGTCCCTGTGCTTTGTTAAGCTTGTTCTAAGTAGGTGCTTTAGACCACTGAGCCATCCCACCAGCCCCTATATAGCTAATTTTTTAAGAGTTAAAAAATCCCTCTCACCATGAAAAGCAAACTATTTACAGATTCCAGGGCTTCCAGGCTGTGGAAATATGGAGGGGGGAGCTTTGTCCTTCCTATCAGAGGGATATAGCTGCTTTGACTGTGTCTGCTTCCCCACCCACCCCTAACAAACTATGAACTTCCACATGCAGATGCCATGTGTGAGTCAAGACACCCCCTCTCTCACCCTGTCCTCGACCACTGTAATCCACAATTAGATATTTGTTTGACTACTGATTTATTGCCACCACATCAATTAACAAATGAGCTGCATGAGGCCAGATGGCCTGTCTGCCACATGTGCTGTGGTATATCCATCACCCGGCTCAGGATCTACACATGGAGGATGCTAAAACTAGAGTTAGAAAGAAGTGAATCTAATCCTGAATTTACCAGGACGTGTTACTACTTACTAATTTCAGTCTTCTTCATGGAGCTATAAATGGGACTACGTGCTCATTCCATATTCAGTTTTGAAGAAAATATGACTGAAGGAGATCCCAGCACAAATGAACATGGAGAGAGGGATGCAGGCACTCATGGGCTGCCATCTGGACTCTGCCCTTCCTGCTCCATGCCACTCTGCCCTGACTCCTTTTTCTCTGTCCCACACAGGGTCCCCTGGTTGAATCCAAACTAAATGAGAGATCCTCACACCAGCCTTCCATGTCCGTGGCTGCCCTTGCCTCAGAGGAGGAAGAAGAAGGAGAGATCCACTATGCGTCCCTCAACTTCCACAAAGTGACACCCAGGGACCCACAGAACTATGAGAGCATCACCAGTGAGTATTCAGAGATAAAGATCCACGAGGGAGAAGCTGTCAAGACTGGTTCTGGTTGGTGAGGACATGATCCCTCTGGAGCTGAGAAAGAGTCAGAGCTGACTGGTCCTGTAGAAGGCAGTGCCCTCTAGACCACACCACTGCGCACCTGGAGCCTGCTCTCAGCAACACCAAAACCGTACTGTACTCTGACTTCTCTCTTCTCCATCACCACCCGCCTGGCTGCCTTCCATAATCACCGCTCTAATTCCATGAGTTTGACTTTTTGAGGTTGCATATGAATGAGCTACGCAGTGCCTGTCTCTCTGTGCCCACATCACTTAACTTAATGTAACGTCCTCTAGGCTCATCCATGTGATTGCAAAAGACAGAACCATTTATTGTGAAAAGAGCATTTTTAACATTCTATCTGAGGAATGATGCACACTTAAGCTGCTAGATAAGATAATTAGCCTGATGTCATTCCCCAAGGTGCAAATCTATGGAAACATCACACTTTATCTACAATGGCACGTATAATTATTATTTTCCCATTAAAATGAAATGTTAAAGGATTCTTGTAGGTGGTGATCTATAGCTAGAGCAAAAGAGAACAGGCTTTCAAAGCACTCCAAGTTCAAATTCACACTCTGCCCCCTTCTGAAGTACAGACAAATCCCACCTCTCTGTACCTCCATTTCCTGCTCTGTAAAATAGGGATCCGAAGCCCTTCTTCAAGGTGAGGACAGAAATCTCACCATAGCTCCCAGCACAGAGTGGGCTGGGCACACTCTGATTTTGGCCCCTGTACTTGGAACAGAGGGGGCTTGCTGAGAGCTCTTCTCCTCTTTGGAAGTGGCCAGTTATCTGTGTGGTAATGCTCCTTGCCTACAAATAGCTATGGCCCAGCTTTTCCAAAAGGGACCTCAGTCTGTGATCCTGATTGTGCAGCATCTGGACCCTGACCTGCTGCTTTCTGTCCCTCTCACTCTCACCTTCTCCTTCCCCCCCCACTCCCTCTGTCTCTCCCCCTCTCTACCTCCCCCTTTGACATTGAGGCCTAGCCTTCCTTAGTCATTGCATCTTGCAGGCAGTCCAGAGGGGACCACTGGGACATTCTCTGTGCTGTGCTTACAGCTCACTCATGGCTCCTGCTCCTGAACAGCAAGCCCTTCCAGCTTCCTCGTTCCTCATTCCATTCAGGCCTCAGTCCATGCTGCCCACTGACCACCCGCCCGGCCTTTCTAAATCATGTTCAGTGTGCCCCACTGAGTCCCCTCCTCCCCCTAGAATGGCCTCCCTCTGAGCCTCCAGCTGTCTCTGTGTCTAGAAGGGGAGTTCTAGTGGTGGCCTCTGGACTGAGACCAGGGAGGGATGCCCGGCTCACAGCCTAGCTCACAGGCTCCCTCCTCTCCAGCTAAATCAAGCAAATGAGCAATGTGTCCCCTTCAGATCTCAGGACTGTCTGAAGAATAAACAATGTGACTGAGAATTCACCTACAAGTGTTACCAGAACAGGAAGAGAAGCAGAGCACAACAACCACCTGATCCAAGTAGACTTGATGGCAAGAAATCAAAGGACGGATGAAGCACAAAAAGTTTCTATATGCTAGCCCATGTATAGCAGCACTAAAAATAAAATATAAAGGAAAAATCCTTTAAAGAAGCACACAACTGCTGCACTAAAAACATAGAACATTAGTGAAAGAAATGAAAGAAGGTCCAAATTAATGCAAGAAATATACCATATTCAAATATTGGAAGACCATCACACCACTTGGGAGGCTGAAAACAGGAGGATCACTAGGAGTTCGATCTGTTTAGTGAGACCCTGTAGATCTTGTACTAAATACATTTAAAAAAGAATTGGAAGACCAATGTTGTTAAAATTTCAGTTTTTTCTATATTGATTTAAAATAATCCCTGTTACTCTGTGTGCATGTGTGTGTGTGTGTGTGTGTGTACGTGCAAGGATATATGATTTATGCATAATATGTATAAATTGATGAACTGATTCTAAAACTTATCTGGAACTGTAAAGGGCCTAGAATATCCCAGAAGTCATGTAAAATAAAAGCAAAGTAGGTGAAATAAGGCCTTAAGTTTCTTTTCTTTCCACTCTACTGTTAAACTGGGGGAGACCACATAAACGCTGTCAGTAGAGTTTAAGTTTATCCCATGGAGATGGGAGAAAGAGTTCAACTAATGTTAGCAGTGCAAGTGGATCAAGGTATGGACAAAATGAACTCTGACTCCGTGTTCCACAAATATGGTCTGAGGTGAATCATAAACCTGAAAGAGAAAGTGAGAACTCAAACTCTACAATGATGGGGTTCTATACAGTAGCTATTACCATACAGGGCTATGGACACTTAAAACACGCTACACTTAGTAAGCACAAGAAGAATATAAGCCTCCTATTAGTAATTTTAATATTGGTAACATGTCCAAATGATATTCGAACATATTTGGTTCAATAAAATACTATTAGAAGTAATTTCATTGCTCTCTTTTTACTTTTTATGGTGACAACTAAAATATTTTCAATTACACATTGTATTATATTGCAGGTAGACAGTGCTCCCACGGAAGAGAGCTTAGAGATCATCTCTGGGCATGCAAGAATTTCTTAGAGACGCTCAGTAATATTATGCGTTTTTCCAGTTACTGTTCTCTCATTTCTGGGACAAAATATCCTACATCCAGAGTTCAAGAAGGAAAGATTTGTCTAGCTCACAGTTAGTGGGGCTTTCAGTCCATACTCAGCTGGTTCCAAGGCAGGGTGGCACCTGGCACAAAGCAGCCATTCATGGTGGTGGCAAAGAACAAAGTGCAGAGCAGTGGTAGTGGCTGCTAGCTAGCCTCTCTCCCCTCCTTACATTGTAATGCAGATCACCTACCCTAGGGCCAGAGTATAGCACTCACACCCGCAAACCCAACTTTGGATCAAGAATCAGTCACAAACTCTAGAAACTGCCCTAAGACTGCACAAGGCTTTGAGGGGACAACTAGACACAAACCATAACAGTGTAAAAGAAAACATGTACATAAGTTTGATAGCCCCAGGGTCTTAGCCACTTTCCAGTCACTAGGATGAAATTCTTGATGTTTACAGATTAAATCTGGAGAGGTTTATTTGGGGTTCAATTCTTAGGGGATTCACTCCATACTCACCTGGCCCTGAGGCAGAAAGAGAAGGGTGGAAGGATCTGGTAGAAGAAATCTACCAGCATTATGGTGACCAAGAGGCAGAAGGTATGGGGAGAAGCCCAAGAGAATTATATGTCCTTGAAATTCCCACCCCCAGTGACCCAGCTGTAGCCACCAGACCCTTATTCCTCAGAGCCCACTCTGCTCTGAATTCTTCTATGGCTGAATCTACTGATCAACAGCATGCATACCCATGACCCAGTCACCTTCCAGCACCCCATGAACAGATGAGCCTTTGAGGGACATTTATACTAAACCATAGCACCTGCCTTCTCCTTGATTGAAAAGTAGTTTTTGAAGCTAAAAGTGTTTTTTAGTTTGCTCCCCCAGTTTATTTTTTTCCATAATTTTATTGAGAAACAAATAGCAATGAGACAGTCTCAAACCAAATTGGTAGGACAGTTTCAATAATTAACACATTGCATACATTCTTCCTAGTGGTTATTTGCTGTACAAGATGCAGACATGATATCCTATTTACAAACACTATTAGAACAAATACCTCTATTTATTAAGAGAATATAACTATATATCTATCCTAACCATTTTGAATACGCAGATATAGAATGGACATTCATCTATATCCCCTTCTTTGTTTAGTTCCATTATTTGAATACTATAGGTGTGTAAACTCAGCAAAATATTCTAAAAGAGTCCAATAGTCCATAATAGTATTGGGTCTTCCACTTTACTGGCAATGTCAGAAATTGTTGACCTGAGTCCCCTACAGCTCAACAAAACAGCATGGCTTTACTTCTTATACTTCATTTTTATACTTTTCTGCTAGATGGTTAAGACCAAGATAAAGCAGGACCTATGCAACAAGAGTTGTAGCTTTTGGATCTGATAAGGTCAGTCAAATCCCCTCAGGATTTATCCTGAGATCCTGTACCTCAGATTGCAGAACCTTTGTCAGTGTCAGCCATGTGGATGAGTCACGACCGTTGCTTGGCCAATGTGCTCTCTGTGAAAGCCTGAGAGAAAGTTTTCTCTCCATGTGACTCTCCTTGGGCACACTCTACATCATTGATCACTTTCCTCTTTAGCTCCATAATCTCCTTGATCAGAAAATTTGGGACACTACTGAGTTACATGACGTTACAGTACAAGTTCTCATATGTCCTGAGTCTTAATTGACCTTAGAAGGCTAAGGCCAAAATGTTGACTTTCCTTGAGGCCCTCCTTTTTCTCTAATTTTGGTCTGCAAACTTAGGTTGTTAACCATCCAGAAAAGAAGCTTATTGTTATTACCATACAACTTAGGCTATTAAGCTTAACCTCACTATCTGTCTCAATATAAAACATCTTAGGTATAACATGGAACAGGTATTTTTCATCAAGTATTGCTATGTTAAACTTTAAGTCTCTATAGAATATGATGAAAAAACATTTAAAAATTGAAATATATTTTAAAAATAAGCATAAAGAATTATATAATTCTTATGTTTACATATAAGTCCAGAAATCTAACCATATACAACCTTGTAGCAGGACAGTCCCGCAACATTCCTTTTCCTTTCTCCTGCCTTCATTCACCAGCCCCTTCTTTTTGAACAATCATCTACCTGAGAGACATCACAGCAGCAACTGGCATGTCATGACAAGCAGCCCGTATTCAGAAGAACAGAATGACAGGCACTCCAAGCATGAACCTACTATTACAAATTGCCATCTGCAGTGCACTCCCCCAATTTAAAACTAGATTTTGTTTTTCAACTGAGGCAAAAACATACTCCCAATAAAACAAAGAACTTTTCTGTCTTGTTTTTGATAAGGAGTCTTGAAATTCAGTTAGTTTTGTAGTGATCTTGCTGTCTCAGGATTACAGGAGTGCGCCACCATGCCCAGGGTACCTGGGATTAAATCCGGGTGCTTGCAATTGTCAAGCATTTACTTTAGACTTCTGAGCCATCTCTGAAGCCTCTTACTTTTTACTTTTAATTCCTTTTCACTGGAGTCACATATGGCTGGTGTCTGTTGTATTGGTTTGATCCCCAGTAGCACATGCCACGCTCAAACCGGATGTGGTGGTGCCCACGTATACTCCCAGCACTGGGGAGACTGAGCCAAGAGGATCACTATGAGTCTGAGTTGCATAGTGAGACCCTATACCAAATACATAAATTAAAATTTTTTTTAATTTAAAGATATGTGGTGAATATTTAAAGTAAAAAAACTGATTATAGTAAGACATACTGCTATTAATCTCCCTCAAAGTCCTTGCCTTCATTTCAAACGTGCTTGTCCCAAGCTTCTTCCCACTTTCTGAGCCAGCTCTGCATGTCCTCCTTCGGGAGTGTCTTCATGAGGTGCGATCAAAATGCAGGAAACGCAGCTGCCGGCGCCCTCCACGGGAAGGCGCCCCAGAGGGCCCTTACTCTGCAGGTCCAGCGCTGTGGCATTCTGGCTCTTTCCTAAAGTCAAAACAACCACTGAAGGTGCACATTTTGAGCCAATTTAAGACATCGGGGTGAGCACAACAGCCCAGCTCAGGACCCCCACGAAGGAGGACTCCTAGAACTGCTTCCGAAAACGACAACTGCCGTGGCTAAGTGTATTCTAGGCGATTTGGGGTGGAATGATGGCAATGAGTCTTTTGCTGTAACAACTAGAAAGTTTAACCATTCACAGTATATTTTATCACTTCTCATATGATAAAGGTGTAATGGAGCTGAACAATTCCTACCTCCTAGTGACACCACAGCCTCCACAGTGTCCTAGTGAAACACAATATCTGTCTTTTTTAAAAAAAAAATGTATTTTAGTACAGGGTCTACACAGATCGGACTGGTAGTAATTCTCCTGTTTTCAGCCTCCCAAGCGCTGGGATTATAGGCACGCACCACCACACCCAGTCTCAGTCACTGTCTCGCGCCCCAGAGGCGACGCAGGCACAGCACATCGGGAATCAAATCCAGTCCCTGCACCTGCCTAAGCAGGCGCTGTAGTCCGCCGAGCTATCTGGCTGGCCCCACATTATCCATCTTCATGAGGATGCTGCTATAAACAAGCCTGCTTTGCTACCTTCACTTACGAGCGGGCATGCAGCTGTGTACAGTGTGCGGTACTGAGTCATGCTGACGCCGGGTGATTATGTCACTGGCTCACGTATTTGCTGTACTAAAATTTTAATCATTAATCTAAAGTGTGCTTCTACTTAGTAAAATAAAGCTGTACACACTTCTGTCCCAGAGCTCTGGGACAGTGAGGTAGGTAGATTGCAAATTGAAACCCAGCCTGGGCAACTTACTACACACCAGTGTCTCAGAATTGACAAAATACAAGAGGGCTGTGGTGTAGTTCAGTATAAAGGCTCTGGGTTCAATCCTTAGTACACGCACCACACATGCACACACACACACACACACACACACACACACACACACACAGTTCTGCACAGCACAATCCTATGCCACGCTGGTGGAAACAACACACATCTCACCTCTCCTGCGCCTCCAGATTGCACTGTTCCTTTTATAGTTGATGTACTCTCTCAGGTTCGTCCTGACCCTGGGACCCACAGGCCACTCCTCATACCCATATGCACCGTGTAACCTCAGTGTGCAGGGGGATGGGCCATCCAGGTCGGTGCAAGCGCCTTCTCCGACATTTACAC